TATATATATATATCAGAGGAAAATAGACAGTGTACGGTTGAAGTTTTAAAATTACTTATAGTAGTTTTGAAAGGATAACCCTGTACACCCCCAGCCCCCGATCCACCCAGTATGGAAGTAACACCAGACTGCTCAGATCAAAATAGCATAAATTATTATTACCCTAACCTTTAAACTTCATAAACCAGAACATTTGTACTTTTATAGGAAAGGGAGGGTGATATTGGCAAAAAAAAATTAACTATTAATTATGGCAATGACGTAAATTAGTCACTAATAAAAGTAATTGCCAAATGTTATTCGGTAACAGTTTTTCTTGACAATTAATTGCACACAATATTGTTTTGCCCAGCCCTATTTTAAAGACACCTTTTTTTTTCTTTTTAGTGAGTACACACAAACTTTCTATGAAAAAAGAAGGAAGTTTGTTTATTTTATCAGTAAAATGATTTGAAATCAATAGATTTTGAAATACTTGACTGTTTTTATTTTCTTCTCTTTGCAGTGACTTGTCTATGCAGTGGTCACAGTTGTCCAGACCATACTCATCTACTGACCAAAGCAGCTCTGTGGGCTCTATGGAGAGCTTGGACACACCGACACCAACTACACAGCCATACTCTGGCTCCCACAATTCACCTGTTGACCCTGCCCTTTTCAACAATAAGCGAGACTCGGCCTACAGCTCCTTCTCGGCCAGCTCAAACACATCTGACTATGCCACAGTGCCGCTGAGGCCCGATGAAGCCTGCTCTATGGACAACCTTCTACAAAGTCTTGGGCCAGCATGCCAGACCTACCCTGGTGACACTTCAGCCCTGGGTAGACCATCTGGTGAGGCTCCAGTTCTAATTGTGCACAAGTCTAGATCCTTGACCAGACCAAGACCAAGGCCTGCTGAGGTGAAAGATAGGCCTTCGTCCTGCTGTTATGAGCAGGAGCATAAGGGAGGAGACTTTGAGATGTTGAGAAATGGAGAAACTCAAACAGAGAGGAAGGAGAACCCCCCTCAGCCACCAACCAGGAAGGACAGTTTTAGGGCGACCCGGAGTCACACTGATGCTGCCAGCAAACGTTGCACCGCGACTCCCGTAGAAGATTGCAGTGTATCTTATTATGAAGAAAACAAATCCTGCCTAAATGAAGAACCTGTTATTCAGAATGGTTTTCTTCCTCCAGAAGAGGACAACAAAACTGAGGATTTACAAATGGAGGAAGTGGACTCTCAATTTATCCAAAGACAAACTGAAGAACTTCAACACATAAGATGCGATAGCGGTGCTAGGACAGATTACAAATCAGAGACCACCTCAGGGGACCCTTCTGACTCAGTAGCATCCTCTGAAAGCCCCATCACCCTTTCTGGTCTAGCATCAATATCTTCTGAATCTTCAGTGGAAGTTCAGGTTCAGCCCAAGCACTCCTCTGCTGGGCTGCACCGGCACAGTGCCCCAGAAAAGCTTCTCACTACCCAACTCCAGTTACTGCAGTTCAATAATGACAATGATTCTATTGAGCCTTACAACACACCTAATCCCCCTGATCCCCCTCTGTCTCATTGTAGCAGCCAGTGGTCTCATTTATCATCGGCCCACGCTACAACAAACAACCTGGAAGGTTTTCAAAACCAGCTTCCGTCAAACAAATGGGGTGGTAGCCGATGTTCAACCMCAGGTTCCGTGTTTTTGGGAGGAGAAAATAGTGTTTCAGGCGAGAGGCTGGAGGAAAATGTTAATGATAGGTCTAGTTCACCGGTTCATTGTCACGTGCCTTGGGGTCGCTCAGTGAGCGTACCAGGTAAACCCACAGGACCCCAGGAAAGACTGAGCTCTGATCAGATAGCAGAGAGTGATTTCCAGCCTCTCAGTGCTGCTGCCAGTGTGGATACCTTACTCCAGGAGCAAGCAGTTGTGGAAAAAGACGGATGTGGGCCTAAAAAAGAGAACCCTGCAGAAAAAGAAGAAAACGTAAAAAAGTCAAACTCTTCTAAAAACTATCGACGGAACCGTCGGCGCAATGAGCGGTTTGCAACCAACCTCCGCAATGAGATTCAGAGGAAAAAGGCCCAGCTCCAGAGTAGTCATGGTCCAGGAGGACTTCTGTGCAGTAAAGAAACTGTCCAAGAGGAGGAGGGTTCAGACCATTGTGAAGAGGAAACCAACCCAAACCTCTCTGTTCAGGAAAAGATTGCCAAAGTTGCCTTTCCCTCTCCAGCAGTCCTTCAAAATTCCCAGACCTCATCACAAGTCAGAACATCAAACACCACAAGCGAGTCAAACTGTGATTTCCTGCAAACCCAGTCCACAACTTACACTCAGAACAACAGCCGATCCAGGTCTGTGCAGATTTTGGACCCAGGCGTCCCTAGTTTTGGTGTGGGCATCAGAGTTGTGGAGGAACCAGCACCAGCTGGAAAGGCCCGTCGCTGGCGTTGGACCCCAGAGCATAAACTCCAGCCAGAACCAGATGGAGATAAACAGTTTGGCGTCTCAGGTGAAAGGGTGTTTGGGGTCACCGAGTCACGTCACGGAGTCTGCGCCTTCACCTCCTCATCCAGTTCCCCTTACAGTCGCTCCTCTTCATGTTCTCGAAAGGACGAGTCTGATATTCTTCCATTTGCAGAAAGAATGAAGTTTTTTGAGGAGACTTGCAAGAGCAAATCAAATGCCTCAAATGCATCCAGTTACAGGCAGAAAAAAACGGAACATCATCCRGAGCACCAGGCAGGAGAGCTCGGTCAGGGTTCAACCCAAAGGAGATACTCCTATCAGGGTGGGCTGCAACAAGAAAGTGCCCAACTTACAAACACCCTGGAGGCCAGGAGGCAGTCTGTGAGTGCTATGAGGGAGAGGCAGAAAGAGATGGAGAGGGAACATTTCAGAGAACTGGAGGAGAGAGAAGAGAGGTTAAGAGAGATGGAGAGGCAGCAGGAGATGGAAAGACGAGAGCGGGACTTAGAGATGGAATGTGCAAGAGAGAGGGAGATCCAAAGAGAGAGGGAACGAGAGGAGAGGGTGAGACAGTGGGAGAGAGAACAAATGAAGAAAAGGGAGGAAGAATTTCAGCTTACCTCTTATAAGGACTGTTATGGTAATTCTGGCATCCGAGAAAGAGATAAAGACTTTGAACATAAGGAACATTTCTACAACCGCCAACCCAAGCCTCCAACATTCTCTCAGAGCCACATCCAAAGTCAGGTCCCACAGTCAGCATTTTATGCAGTCGGTCATCATTCACAGCTGCTGGAGAACCACCAACCTCTGCATCAGGGATACACTGCAAGGAGCTACACACCCACAGAGGTAAGAATATGTCTTGATTGATTACCTTTGTCAKGCTCAGCTGAAGATTTGAACCTTTTTACTAAAATAATCCTTAATGCTTATGTCTAAAATCAAGGAATGCCCAATACTAGTTTTTCTCAAACCAAGTATGAATACTTCAGTTTGGGTACCGAGTGGCACCACGTCTAAAATCTTATCTTCATTAAGATCTTCAGTTTAAATGCTTTCAGTTCATGTTGAACTTTCTGTAGCGTTTGTCGCAGTACTGAAGCCAGGTGGATAAACTTTCCATCTCACCAGAATCAGACTGTGCCCCTGGAATGTACTGAAGTCACCACTAAATACCAAAAACTCATCTCTGTTTCACCCAACCAGCACCTACAAAGTATCGAGTGGCCATGCTTGGCTGTTGGAGTTAAAAGTTGCTGCTGTGTCCAAGCGCTCCGTGGTTAAACGGTTGATTTATAGTGGAACCTCACATCCTGCATGTGGTCAAAGGCTGAAATTCCCATTAAAAATTCAGTGGATCCTTGACATATTTCATGGAACTGATGCAGATCGGGAAGCAGCGGCGCTCCACTTGTGTTCACGCTAATGGCAACGTTGGGTTACAGCTTTGCCACAAATTGATTCTCGGCTCTGAAGTGGAGTAAGGTGGGAGACGGGGTTCAGCCTCCTCTGGTTTTTAACTCTTGTGACCTTCAGCTTAGTATTCTTATCATTTGATATTGTAGTAATTCAAGCTGACGTTAGTCTTGGACTTCAAGGGGTCTTGAGGTCAGTAAATATTTGGTCCAATTTGGCACAGTTTTTGTTGGTTTCGTGTGACTTTGCCATACCAGAGCCTCCAGGGAGTCTTGACCCCCTGCATCTCGACATGTTAGGATTCTTTTTTTTATTTTTTATTAAAGCTTGCGGCTCTGATGCCACAGTGATAACCCCACGTGTTGAAATCTGCTGTTGATAGGGTCCAGTGTTCATAATGGGAACAGATGTGCTGAGTGTGTGTGTGTGTGTGTGTGTGTGTGTGTGTGTGTGTGTGTGTGTGTGTGTGTGTGT